TAGAAGGCTTAGATTCCTTTATAACTATTTATGCTTTGTGTACACCATGGTTTGCGCAGACTGACGAGGTTTCTTTTCATAATTAATTCAAGATTCTCTCTCGCAGTAACATCTAAAAGTACTACTAACAGTTGCTTGATACCGATGAAGATTGATTCTTATGCATATAGTAAAATCATACATTTACATTTTACAAAAACGTTTTTTTTGCTGAGGTGCTGTGTACCTAATTGTGGAGGGATGTGGGTGTACAGTAAAAAGGGAAGACTTGTCTTGTTAGATTTGGTTTGTGTTTTACGTGTAGCAGTATTATCATTATCAGCAGTGATTTGGTGAAACTTTCAAGTTGGCGTGTTCAGTCACGCATCTTTATCAAAAGTAAAACTCTTTTAAAATATTTTTGTGACTATCACAAAAAGCGAAACTCTAAACGTCAAAGCATATAAAATAAATTCTTCAAATATTTTAAGGGATTGTTGTGAATGTTTCCAAGAAATCTCTGTGTCTCTCGATAATACTGAATAAATCTTTAGTGAAATCTTCTTTTTCACATCAATTTCATTAATTTATTTTTATTTGATATTGTGTTAGTACCTTTATATATTTTAAACAGATAAATACGTTGGTTAACATATTTCTCTCTTAGAATGGAAATAGAAGGATAGGGGAAAGTGTGGGGTTTAACATGCGAATTCTCGCACAGGTACGCGGAGGAGAAAACTTGTGCTATCGCACAACATAAAGAACAACAAACTTTTTGAAATTAACGAAGTAAAATAGCTTAAAATAAATGAACAAAAATCAAAACACGCTAGCCTATAATATTGCGTGAATTAATTTTAAAAAACAACCAAATTTAAAATTATAGAAAGAATAGTGCAATTCATTTGACAACTGCCAACGATCACAATTTAGACGCACGATTAAAATGTTGGCGGTATCCGTAAGTCTGAACACCAATGCCCAGCTGTAAACTCATGTTGTAAATAATACGCCGTTTTAAATTAAATTTGAGATGTCGGTTCGCTAAGATATTCAATTCGTAAACATCGGTTGAGAAACATTCTCATGTACTGAAGTGAAGTCTTAAGCCTAATTAATTGTTTCTAATGGCAACAAATGATATTATCCCCGTACGTTTTCTTGACCCCTCATTTCGCCTGATGTGAGGGGAGTGGGGGGGTTGATTATTTTATTGACAGGGCAATTATCTGAAATCTGTAGCTCGATTTTTGAAGCGAACTATTTTCTTTTAGAGAGGAGCAAACACTTCTGGTTATACGAGTTTGTGAACAAATCTTGTGGCTATCATATATTCTGAATTCTACTAATATTAGGAAAGGAGTGGGGGGAGGTATGCCGGGGCTCAATAAAACGTGCGCGTACAGTATATACTCAGAATATTACTTTAATTATTTTTGGGCTCGTAATTGCTTTTCTTGAGGTAAGAAAGCAGAAAATATTCCAATACTTTTTAGTATATAAATAATTTTTCAATTTTCTTACCCCTGTTAGTTGGCGCCCTACCCTCCAAATTCCCTCTGTTCCTCATAACAAATCTAGGAAAGTTAAATAATATTGTAAAGAGTAGGGTTTTACTTACCCGATACGTTCTTTTTTCGCATCGAAAACTTAACTAGGCTTTCTCGTTAGTTAAAACCTTTTCTAATATTTTCGTGATTGTCAAGGAAAGCGAAAAGCTAACTGTTAAATAAAACAAGAACTCATGGACCTACAAACTCTGTTTATTGATGTGTGCAGGCTACATCCCTACAGCGCAATCTTCAGGACATCAATGAACGAATGCGCATTGTGCGTACACTTTTATACATAAAGTCACTAGTTACATAGAATCCTATAGATGTCATTAAATACAATTTCTCTAATATAAATGTACGTGAATATTCCAGCACTAACTGTCAAGGATGATTGAATAATTACTTCAAATATTTTAAGAAAGTGTAAATTGTTCGAAGAACATGTGTGTATATATATATATATATATATATATATATATATATATATATTACTGAATAAACCTTATTTGACTTTTTTCCTAACATGAATTGCATTGTTTTTTTGTTTGATATTCTGTAAGTACGAAGTTACATTTATACATTTTATAATAAATGAACACGTTTTATTAACAACTTTCCTTCTTAATGGGAGGAATAGCGAAATGGATATGGAAAGGGTGGGGATTAACACGCGAGAGTTCTCGCACGGGTACACTAGTTGGTTTTAATTGTGTCAAAGTGTTAACGTATTAAGTTTACAAGAGATATGAAATTACTCAAGAAAAAAGTCATTTTGCTGATGGAAGTGCTTGATATTCTCGTCAAAAGGTGTGAATATTCACGTGTGTTCTTAATGAAATAGTTATTCATTTAGTTGTAGTAAATTAAGTATGACTATAATGTATTTGCGAGTAGCACCAGCGAAAGTGAAACTTTATGAATAATTATGAATATATTATGAATAATTTATGTTATGCTGAAACTGTATCAGACGGGTGAATTATTAGTGTTATTATAGAGGAGAGAGAAAGCGTATCTTTGGGTGATGAAGGAATGTTATTTAAACTAATCAGAGTAAGTTTGGCTAGAAGAAATATAATTGAAGTAAATGAATAAAGGGGAATGGGAGTAATTGAATGCTATTTTGCAAGGTTGTTGAAAACAGCACCAAAGATATAATTTTAGATATTAGAAAAACTTTTGTTAAGCCGAGATCCAATGTGATCTCGAATTTTTGGGGATGTTATAATTGTGTAAGTAGTTAATGGTGCCTTTCCGTCAGTCATTATTTATCAAGAATCCTTAAAACGCGACCTCCAATTCAATTAAAAGCATGTATGTACAACGGCACAAAAGCTCTTTACGAGCTAAAGCCATCGAGCAGCGTGCCGGCCTTGCGATCATGGGTACATGTGTACATTGCCATCCCTACGCTTTATTCTGGTGTACTCAACCTGAGATTGAGCTTTTTCATCGTCACACAGCTACATATGCTGGGACCTTGCAAGGAAAGCGCGCAATTAATTTTTGTTGCGAGTGGGAAGCAAACCCGAGGTTTCGCCGTGGAAAGCGAGCACGCTACCAACGACCCACCGAGGGCTTTAATTAAATGTGTTTTAAATATAGTTAGACGTCAAGGCGGAGCGGGAATAAAATAGAATAGATGAAAGTAGGCTCCACCGCAGGGCAGGATTAGATGAAATTCTTCTTTATTTATTTGGTCAAGAAACAGTAAAAACTGTATGTAATGTATGTGGGAGACGTCGTCTAATAAAATCTTCCTGCGTAATAAATTATTATAAAGAACTGGGTAACGCCGGGTACTTCAGCGAGTGTTTTCATAAATATGTTGATGAGATTTGTGCAAATTTTAATTAATTGATTATTGCATATTTCCGGGCGCGTCAGTTGCTGTGGTTATTAGTCGCGTGTTGTGGATGTTTATATCACTGGAGGTGGATGTGATGTGTATGTTTTTATCGCGGACGGGTGTTTTTTTTCGCTGGATGGCGAGATCTGGTCTCGACCTGCCATTGACTTGCGGGGTTTCCCTCACCCATGTATCTCCTAACATCTCACATCACCCCAGCCAGGAGAAGCTCTAAACACCCGACAGGTATGTTAGATATAAGTGTAAGTAAGAGGGAAGACAAGTCGAGGAAGAGCAAGGAAAGATCGTGCGCGGTCATTGGCACTGCTCACACGGTACCGTGCTTAACATGGCTTAGGGTCAGTTTCACCAACAGATGAGTAAAGTTGAGAGTAGTTACCCGAGAGTAATCATTGACTCTAAGATAGTAACTCTCGAGCAGAATATAAGCGTTTCACCATGCTTCTACAGGGTTTTTACTCTATTTTACTCTAGAGTACATACTCTCCGATTTACTCCGCGAATCAGCTGAACGCGCAATATTTGAGAGCGATTTAAGAGGCTGTGAGTGAGAGAGATACTGGGAACCCCTGCGGACCAACGCGAACCTTTGATTAATTCCTTATATTCTGTCATTCATTTCAGCTTCGGAGTTCTCGGCATTATTATCTTGTGCGGTGTTATCGTGATTTGAGTTGGCATAGTTTAAATCTTAGTTTTTGAATCTTTATTTCTTCATCTTTCATCTCTAGAGATGAATTACTATTACTTTGCAGTTCGTTTACCGATGGCGATGCAAAAACATTTCTATAACTCGGGAACGATAATGTTTTGTTTTTCAAATGTTGCTGATCTCGCGTTTTTCTAAATTTTATTATTATTATTATTATTATTATTATTATATTATTATTCATTATTAGTTTATTTTTTATCTGTAGTTCACTTGAAAAATATTTGTAGTTAAAATGTTAGAGAATGGGTTCTGGAACTCAAGAAAGATGTGCGCAATGATCTCCATTAGTCATATAGCAGTTTTACTAATCATAAATATTTGTTAGTCCTGTAGTTTTATTTTGTCGCCTTTTGTTATCGAATACGGTATGTAATACTTTATTTCGTATCCACATGGGTCGAAAAATAAATTTTTCAATTAACAGTATCTAAACTTTACAGTTAACAATGTAGTATAATGAAGTTAACAGCTCATATGGTCAAACATAACCTCGTGACAAAATCTCGATCGTCATAATTAAAACCAATCTATTCTCTCCCGCACCCTTTGTCTTCGCACTATTGGATAATATTCCGAATCATTGCTGGGATCGTCTTCAAATACCATCATTCGTAATCGTCGAGCCGTAACAACACTTCGGAGGTACATGCACGCTGAAAACTGAATTTACTCCGCACTTTACCCGACGGATTTTCGAAGTGTAAAGTTACTCTTGAATTTACTCTCGTGTAAGCGATATACACTCGAGTAAAGTGTTGGTGAAACGCCCCAAGACGTTACTCTCGAGTAAACATGATTTACTCCAGAATAAACTCTTACTATTCGTTTGGTGAAACCGGCCTCTAGTCTAGCGCTGCACTGTGCCTACTACTCTGCCCAAGACTTTCGCAGTGTATTAACAGGAAAATCAACTGAAATATACCATTCGGTGCAGCCGGTCGCAAAAATTCTCCTTCAGACAGTTGCCGAATTCCACCTAGCTATCTAGCTAGTGTCATGAAATCCTGCCACCGTTGGGATTCGTACTCAGAATGATGCCCTAAGCTACCTCAGCCGGTTATCTTTAAATACGAGTCTTACAAACTTTTTGATGTGAGTATTTTAAACAATTGTTTAATAAATCTGACCCTCTGATCCTCAAAAATTTCAGTGCTATGGGGAGTGTCGTGTCTTATGGATAAATCGTCTCTGCACTGTGTTATACTGTTCAAATTACGTTTGAAATGAATATGAAGGTATGTGTTTGATTTTCGAATATCCCGCGCTGAGTTTGGTGAAGTGTGTGTCAAGAGAAGGCTGAAGTATTAGTTAGAATCAAGTTGCAATGTTCTAATATTGTAGAATATTACAAATATACTGAGAAAATATGCGTTATTGTAGTAGCACAAGTGTATTATTTAATATTTTTGATGAAGTGCAATATTTTTTTTACTTTTTCACACGTTATCATACGCATTTCTGTGGTTTGTTCGTGGTCATCAGGGGTCCGGATGTGCTTGGAGGTTGAACTAGCAGATTGTGAAAGTGGAAAGTCAGAGTGTAAAGTGGGAAGTATTGGACAGGCAGACAGGTCACAGCAGAGTGTACAGGTGCGTGCATATGCAGGAGTGTTATATGTTTTATCGCAAATAAACCTTTTTATAGTTCGATCGTACGCTTTTTTTTCACCGAATATATAGGGGAAATTCTTGGAAATTGTTGCTTTACTTGTAAACCGAAGTCTGGTATACGGTTAGGTATGGTCTTGTAGCTGAAGCAGGCTAGAATTTACAGTGGGTTGTTTCTATCACCAAAAGAGTATTTTATATATTTTACTGTAAGGATTGATTTCCATGAAGTTATGTGATGTATTCTAGCGATTTGCAGAACGTGATTTCAATTTTTCATACAGTACACACCAATATCTTTGATTCGAAAATAAGTGGTTATGGGTGGTTAACATTAGTGCATTGAAATACTCTTAATTTTGGTATGCCTTTAATTAAAACATACTCTGCAAGATTTGAAAAACAAGTCAAATTTATGTGTTAGGTGGAAATGTAGATTTAGTTCAGAAGGGTTTCAAAATAATATTAGAACATATTTGTAAATGCTTGGATCAATTTCATCACTTAATGTTATGTTTTATTGCTATAATCTGTTACAGGTGGATGCTCATTGCTGCATGTTTTCGAAACAATAGTTTCAAATAAATGCATGTGACTTGAGAAAGTTGAGAAAGTAAATCCACAACCATGTTACCATCAGGACGTGGGGCAATGATGAGGAAGTTCTTGGAGTCTATGCAGGAACAAAAGGATGAGGTAAGTAATGGCTGATGTAAAAGAATCTTTTCTCATAACACATTCTCTCATATCCATTCAATATTTGGAATACGAATTAAATTTTATGGATTTCTCAGAAAGATTAAACATGAAAAATTTAAAATGTAGTATAAGTAATATCTATTGTTACAATTTAATTAAAAATTACTTCTATTTAAAGCGATTCCCTCAAACTATGAAAGTGAGTTTCATATTTTTTTTAAGGTTTTAGGTTTTTGAGATTTTTGCAATAGAAATATCAAATTCATCATTAATTATCATGTTTTTCCCCTTCAATAATTTAACCGTGTTTAAAAATCTTCAACCATATTAATACTGTCCTTCAATAAAACTCCAATTCATAACATTTAAAAGATTTAACATTTTTTATTGTGACATTACTTACAAATGCGAATATTCACATACTTTTGGATTTAGAACACAATTCTTCTTCATGTGACAGCAGGTTATGGTAAATCAAAATAGCTAAATATGTATGCCTAAAATCGGTGCAACACGAGTCGCAAGGGAATGAAGGCGTACCTTAAAAACAATCCAGTAACTTGACCGTTCTTGTTCTTTTTAAGAGATTCCCCAAAAATGAGAATCATCTAATTTAAATCTTGTAATTTGTTGTTTCAAATAAGTAAATTCGTCGTAATGTTGTCTCTGTTTAGTGATGTCATAGCTAATGCAGTGTGCTGTGTATAGTGATGTCATAGCTAATGTACTGCAAGTGTCAGTGCACGTCAGGTTAGAGAGTGACAAATTCTCATAGGTCTCAAATTCTCAATGGTTCTGGTCAAGGGGAAAAAGAGGAGTGTTAGGAAGGGGAAAGGGCTGAAGTCTTGTATTTGGTATAACTTACGGAAGTCGTTTAAACCGACATTTTCACACCACTCTGGCGGCATCTGTGCAGTTTGAATTCTGGAAGCTTTCTTGAAAAGTGCTTTCTTATAAAAGTGAATTGATAATTAAGCGATGGATAGATTCAAGGACGTGTATAAGTTAATACAAGGGCCGATGGCCCAAGTCTCGCCATGTCTTGAATCTGGGCGACCAAAGCGAAAAAACTTGCCTTTGAAAGTAAATTGGCATTACAATGCAGTGAAATAATGATCAGTGATGTGATACAATGAAATAATTATATAAGTCATCATTGCCAACAGTATTATTTATTAAAATAGCAACTTTCGATGGTGTAGCAATCATCATTCTAGTACAAGAAAAAACTACCAATTTCGTGTCTAGGACAAATCTATCAATTTCCTAGACCTGAATATAAGCATATCTGGAAACAAACATTCTTTGAATATTTTCAGAAAATCGACGTTCACAGACACTCATCCACAACTCTTCACAACACCCTATCAACATAAACATTCTGCCTTCCATTACATGATTCATGGATTACTAAGCCTGTCCCTGACAAAATCTCATTTTCTGGAAGAACTGAGCACTATATAACACATGTCTATGTCAAACTGTTACAGCACAGAACTCATTAACAACATACTACACCGCAAAATAGTCAAACAGAAACAAAAAATGTACACTACACTTTCTCCAATAACACAAACATCAGACAAGTACACTTGCTTACCTTATTTTGGACCCCTTTCAGAAAGTCACATACAATATTTACATTAAAGTTCCATTGAAATCTCAGAATTCAAACAGGTGGAACTTTTAATACCAGAATTAAGGAACATATACTCGCTTGGAAACACAACACCTGTAAATCTCTTTTTGCCCATCATTTACTCCAGACACGCCATACATTCAATCCATACACAGACATTCGTATACTGGAAATAGAAAATCACTACCATACCAGATTAACTTTAAAAAACCTGCATATTCATTTAAATAATAACTTATTGAATGGAAACATAAACCATAGCCCCTCTCCTCTACTAAAATTACTATTAGACACCACCCCCACACTGCACTTCCCCGAGGTGGCACAATAGACAGCACACTGCACCCAGGCCGTTGCTCTTCTCCACCCCATGGCTAGATACTTAAGCCCCTTGGCTCGCCCGACCCCACTTAGTCGTTTTTGTGGCTTCCATACAGCAGGTAAGGAATGGGTCAACTTACATTTCCATGTTTTCTGTTTCAAATTTTACATGTTCTAATGCAATTTCATTCACTTTTCTTTTAATATTAAATGGCTTAACACCCCCCCCTTTTTTTCTTTCTTTCGATTCTTAAAATGTTAAATATATTTTCTAAATATTGTAAATTATTAGTAATCTTTTATTATAATTTTGCTGTCAAATCAAAAAATATTCATTTTAAGGTTTTTTGTTTTCTTCTTGTACTAGAAAACTGATGATGATGGCTAGCCATTGAATGCTGCTATTTTAATAAATAATATTGTTGGCAATGATGATTTATATAATTATTTAATTGGAAATGCCAACGAAAACTCACCACAATACTAACAGTGCGGACAAAGCTTATGAAGGGTGAGCCATGAAATTCGCCTATTCGTAAGTTTTATTCATTTCTATCAGAGCGTGAAATGTAATTTCAGGCAGAGCTAAGGAGACCCGCCGCTGCTATGCTTCGTTGAGTATGTACCGTGTAACCTACTATAACTGGTGGAAGTTCAACAGATACTTTTTGGAATATAAAATGAAAGATTCAATATTTATAATACAAAATGAGTAATGATTAATAATCATTCAATAAACTCTGAATATTCTAATTTAGAATTAATAAAATAGACCTTTAAGGTTATTTCGTATTAACATTTTATGCATTACTCAAACAATTTAAATCTCTTTTTAATAATGACTGCATCACAAAAATTTGCAAATATGGTGTTTTTGAGCTTTATGTTTAATGTCTTGAAGATGTGCCTAGGATATCTTTTATGTTCTTTATATAAGATTTGTACATTGTCAAAATAAAGATACTGAACTAACGTGTCTTGCTAGAGTATTGTCTATGGGCAGGGCTGCCTGTAGAACTTCTGAGGCTTCTAGGGGGATTATATCTGCCTTACTACCAATAAATAAAGGACTTCAGGACTGAACCAAGAACGATAGATTGTATTTTGCTGCAATTTACCCATTGTGTATTAAAAAATGAAAAATGAATATTAGTTCTAGTGAATAGGGTGAAACTAATTGTAGTAAGCTCAATTTCATTTGATTAGAAATAATGGAGAAGGAAATATTGTTTCCCAAAGTTGCAAAAATTCAATGTCCGTTCTGCACTAAGCTACACTTGTCAAACACACCACTATATCTCGCAAACTATTCCAGCTATAAAGCTACAATTCTAGTGAAGTTCAATTGAGACATGAATGTCTCATCATACAAAATTTCATCAAAATCTGAGATCTTGCAGGGCATGTTTCTAAATTTAGCTTGAAATGATCATTTTTACGCCACCAGAGCAACATTTAACTTTACATGTTCAAACATTGCACTCCCAAATAGTAAGAGTGTGTGTGAAAAAGTGTGCAGACACGTTTCTAAAAATAAAAAAAAGTTATGATCTTTCATTTAAAACCAAGTGCAAGAAGATTGGACAGGTTGGGAGGCAGTTCTTACCAGAGACACAATTTCTCATAATAAAATTTACATTAGATGCGATTTTTTCACACTATTGCGTTTATAAGAAAATGTGCTTAAAATTATGTTCTGTTAAGTTTTTCTAAAACTGAAGTTTTCTGTGAAATTGAGCTAAAAAATCCGCAGTTTCAGAAATACTCGATCGTTATTTTCTTTAAAATGGCTTCAAATTTGTTCTTATAACTTTTCGTACGTGTGTGCTAAATGCACTTTTTTAGATGACACAAAATTGATGACACTATTGTTTTCAAATCTTTCACACATTTTTTAATCTCTTACGCCGTTACCTGTACACATTTCCAGCGATTTGTAAACATTGCTTTTGTGAGTAAAAGTGCTTCAAAAGACGCCCAATAAAGTGTTTTGAGAAATCGAAAAATTTCTATAAAATATATTCAAATTTTGCATCAACGCATTTTCTTAAAAACGACCCCAAATTTTTGAACGAGAATATACATTCAGTACGCGTTTTATTCCGTTCTTTAATATTCTGAAAGTAATATTTCGAATCCATCAGTAGGAAACAAAAAATCGAAATAATTAAACAAAACAAACAAAAAAAACAAACAAACTTGCCTCGGCAAGAGGAGGGGGCAAGGCCGAAAGTTAGCCCAGACCAAAGAAATTTGGGAACTTTACGTTTAAGTCTGTGCCGTTCTGTAGCCTTTAGTAGTTTAAATTATCTTATCAACTTCCGAAAAGTCGCAATGAAGAACATTTCCTTTAACTTTAGACTTCTGAAGTGTTAGTATTTAGTGCCACGGCAATGATAAAGGACAATAACTTTGTCGATATCATGTGATGAAATACAATAGAAGTGTTTTCTCAAGAAAGTGCTCTATCTGAGCTGTCTGCATTGAATCTTTTCTTTATTTCACATTGCTTTTTCCAACTACATCCTGGAACTGTGGATATCTTATATGCCGAGGATATTCTCGTCTGATTTTGCAACATTGAAGGAGGGAATTGGTTTGTGATCGATAATGACGATTTGCATCACATTCACACTGGAAAAAGGTTTTCAAGATGCAAGAGATTGTAACCATCTATAATACCCATTAAGAAATGCTTTTTGAAACTATGAATTCAATGTAAATATCATTATTCAGATAGGACTGATGAACAGTATGGCTGTAAATGTTGGCCCAATAAATGTTTTCAAACCGTTTAAGCTTAGGCCAATACATTCTTTGGTTCTTAATAAAGATATTGGAGAAAGTTCACTGAAACTTTTTTGAACCAGTAGAGAAATTGGTATTTTCATAGGGCGTAGGGCCCAAGATCAAAGCAAGGTTTAGATGTGAAAGAGTAAAGTCCTTTTTTAGACAGTTGTTGAACAAAAGGCACCATTGTAGTTTAATTTATATTTTTCGTGCATAACGAACGATGTCTCAGGAACATGTTTTATTCCCATCTTCAGGCATTCAATATTCTAAAATGAAACATAAAATAGTCTTATCAAATTTTGTTGGAATTATGGACAGCCCGCGCGCTATGCAATCGACGCATCGATCTTTCCCCTGAATATAGGCGGATTACAACTTGTGATGCACAAAACACTGTTAGCACACACCAACACAGACACGGTACAGCTCTAGTCAAATAGTACAGAAGCGTCAGTCGATTGCTCGGCATATCGATAGATGCTCTATGGATGAGATAGTATCGTCCTGTCGAGAACACACTTTCCCTCGAGACAATCCCCCACGATTCACTTGACATTCACTACTCCAAACCGTTCCATGCACTTCTCATGCTTTGGCCTGGTTAAGACCGTGAAGATGTCAGCCGGCATGTCTCCCGATGCCAGATGATTCAATGTGAGTTGAATTGAATTAATGCCTTATTTTACGTGGCGAGACTCAGGCCATGAGGCCTGCTCTTCCGTCTGACCAGGCAAATTTCGCTACGCTCCTTTCACCAACTAGCAGAAGAAGAAGGTATTTCTTGGGCGAGAAACAGGCGATTTGAATTTAGCTCAGAGGCGTCATTTAGGTTTGAGGGTCTTTTACATGCAAGTAAATCTACTAATATGGGACAGCCGGCTTTACTTCCCCCACCGAAGGAAGGCGTACGAAGGATGTTTTCGCCCTTAAAGTTGTTCTGACTCCACAATTTTACGAACAAAGTGATGGCGAACATCTATGTGCTTTATTCGACAATAAAAGACCGAGTTTGTCACCAGTCTCTGTTCGTCGCTTGTGCCAAACCATTCCGGCTATTTTTAAACCATATAGGACCTTCATTTGACAGGCCTTCCTACCAGTCGACAGCTCCTTCAGCAGGAGTTTGGCTTCATTGGCCAGATGACTTTGTTTCTCATTGGCGACGATGTATTCAAGAGCTGGGCACATTTCGTTAGGAAACTCCATGAGTACATCCTCATTTGGAGTCCCATTGAGGTACGTTGTGGCCACATCAAATTGTATTTGCTTCTCATTTCGGGCCGCTAGGGCGATCGTCAGGCGAATGGAGTCCAGCCGAGCGACGGGGGCCTAGGTCTCGTGGTAATCCTTTTCATATCGTTAGAGTACCCTTTCGCCACTATCCTGGTCTTTCGCCTCAAACTCCGTTCATTCCATACTTGTTTCTCGGGGCGAATCGCTCCCTATCACGCTTCTATCTTCAGGTCTAGACGCAATTTCCCATGTATTTTTTCTCTTGTATGGACTTTACCTCGCTTCCCATAGCTTTTAAACATTCCTGAGAGGTCTCACCCGAAAGGACTTCCTTGATCGAATTGTCAGTTATGTTTGTAATCTCAACCCGTTTCTCCGCATGCTTGCTTCCACGCCTGCCCTCCAGGTGGCCCGAACGAGGTCTTCCTGGCTATCCAGAGTGTTATTGTGCGAGGTCTTCGGGAAGCCACCTGACCGCAGTCTGGATCCTCTGGCGCGAATCCGCGAAAACCTTCGCTGTCTGAATCTTCCTCTACTACCTTCTCTGCTCTTCCGACTTAAGCATGCGGGAGGATCCCGGCCGAGGTTCAATTCAATAAAGGGATTTACACCGGCATCCACCTCATCCTTTTGAGCAGCTTTGGAAGCTTTGGAAACATGGTGCTCTTCTGGTCGAAAGTCTTCGGACTTAATGTTGTAATCCATCAGCGGCTGTGCCAGGAACTTGACGTCTGGATACTTCGGCCTTCTCTTCACTCGGTATCCAGATTCTGAAGCCCTTTGTCTCTGCACGGTAGCCCTCAAATAAGCTTTTCCCGAAGCGCAGCTTAAGCTTACCTCTTCTGGGTAACCTGCTGACGAAGACTTGACTGCCAAAACGCTTGGAAGTCTGATACATTTGGTGACGTACTGACCCAAAGTTCATAGGGCGTCTTCCCGATTAGTTTTCGCGAGGGGCATTGATTGTGGATGAAGTGTGCCGTATTCACCGCATCAGCCCAGAGAGGGGAGGGCAGTCCTGACTGGATCAACAAACGTCTTGCCGTGTCCATCAGCATACTGTTATTCCTTTCGGCTACTCCATTCGTCCCAGGATTGTACGGTGCCGTGCCTCTTCAGTAATTCGTCGAACACTTTGCTCTTATACGCCAGTCCGTTATCACACTAGAGGCCCTTTTTCTTCCCCCGCTGTGTGTCCATCGCGTCCCTGAAGCTGTCAAATCCATTGATAGCTTTGCTTTTCGTTCTTTAAGGACCCTTCTTCACACCAGAGCGAATTGTCAATGAGCGTGTAGAAGTACTTGTTCTTCCCATACAATGTCACGCGTATTGGTCCACATACGTCGGAATTGTCACCCGCCGCCGATGAACGTTCTGCAGCCTTAAGGGACGGGTTCGGCACATCTCCCCTGCAGATAAACTCTGCATTCGAGATCTTGATCGATGTTGACGACGTTACCTGGAAGATGTCCATTCTTCACAGCGTCGCGTAAATCCGGAACGTTCAAATGTCTGAGGCGAATGTGCCAGTCTTAGCGGTCGGCTTCGTCCTCGGCAATCTTCGCGCACTCGTCATTCTCTTGTGCACGGAGGAAGTAATTGTACTCGCGGTAAGCAGCACAGCTTTCGTCTTCTGGAAAAGGACGTTCCTTTTGTCCCTTATCTTCCTTAACGACATAAAATTAGTGCGAGAGTCAATTCCATATAATGTGTTTTGAAGGCTGATCATCGTTACGCTCCCATTCACTTCCCTCGTTTTCGTGCAAGCGTCGTTGGCCAGGTTTAATTTTGCAGGCCCTGTTTCATGGATAGCCTTTAAGGAGTGAATGTCCTTGCACATGTGCGAGGTGTATCCGCTATCGATGCACCATGCATTCCGGTCCTCGCTGCCGCCGGTACGGAAACTCGTCTCCAGTGTCCCTTGACACAAACAAAGTTGCATCCTCAGCACCGCTAGCGCTCTGCTGAACCTTCGGTTCTTGTACCCTTTTTGCCAGCGGACAATTACTTGTTCTATGCCCGACTTCCGAGCACGTGTAGCACTTAATCCTGGAATTTCTTTCATTCGTCTCCTCGACCTGTCTCCCCCGAACTTGCCGGCGACATCGCGCTTTGACTTGCATTTCTCCTTATGTCTTTCAGCGAATTAAACTCTTCTGATTTTAATTCTCACGACATTTGCTGTCGGTAAGGTATCGTGCGTTCTGTTCGCACTTGTCGAAACTGTCGGGCAAACTTCGAAGCAGTATTACCTACCGTCAGCAAGTCTTGAATGATGTTATCTTCCATGTCCGATAGTTTGTCTGTTACGTCGAAGAATTCACGAGCGCATGTGCCCCACTGTTTGGAGCAAAACCTGCTAGTCGGATCTCGCCATACAGCGGGAGAAGAACCCCGCCCCCCTTCTGGACAAAAAACACACTGCACTTATGGGACATATGATCCTAGTAGTTAGTGACCCTTGTGTCGGAATCGCAATCAATCAATCTAGATACTTAAATAGAATATACATAATACAATTTGAAATACAGGAACAAATAACTTGCATGATACAAAAACATATTTTAAAAAAACACTTTATCCTTTGTAACATTGAAATGTAAATATATTTGTAATACTTTGAACTTAAATATAAATAGAATGTCACGGAGTATTCATTCAAGGGTATTGCTGTAAAAGGCGACCAAAGTAAACTCAGAAACTTAAGAAGTCACTGATTAGTATTTAATTTGGTAAATATTATGTAGATTTTTAACTGTAATAACTTTATACAGTACATAGTTGGTGACAAGGAAAGAAATGGAGCTTACATTTTTAATTATTTCAGCAACCCATCTCCTCTAACTTTTAGAGGATTAAACAATTTAAACAAAATATTACAATATTTTGTCAGTGTTGATTAAACCTAGTATCTTGAATACTTTCTTCTTTTGTCTCTTTTAGGAAGATCCAGTTCCACCTGAACGGCCGGTGGGTCGCGGCAGAGCTATGTTGCTCTCTCAGACTACAGAGATAGAGGAAGGGGTGAAGGAAATAGCCATTGCACGTCCCTCTGGCCGAGGGAGGAGCTTAGGATTGCAAGCCCCTTCTGTGGCTCCCGTGAGGAGAACAATGGATCCATCTGAAGGACCACCAGGACCTTCCAGAGGGGGCTCTGTGGAAGTTGCTCGACCTGTGGGTCGTGGCCGTTCTGCGCTGTTTGCAGCATTCATTGCTCAGAATCAGCAGGAAAAGGCGTATGTGCTTCACATTTCAATGTTAAAACTATTGTATTCAGTGATTTTCATTTAAAGAAGTTAAAAAGAATTTTGATGCATTATTGTAATGTGTTCAAGTTTTTAAATGCTGCGAGTCGAAAAAGGCGAGGGTCATAAGATTCCAACTATAGTTTTTTAATTGTTACTTTCAATTCAGTTTATTCTTTTCACAATAATTTTTCACTTTTTATTGACTTCAACTATATTAAATATACTTTTAAGCTAAGTATCTTTTTTTTTATCATCTCCTTTTCCAGATCAAAGTTGAAACAAAAATATTATTGAAATAACATATTGTATTACAGAAATAAATTTTAAATTCATACAGAACTGTACTTTTTATTCCATTTCATCTTCTGTTCTGGAATTGCAAAGAAGAAAATATTCTTAATTTTGTCAAGAGCTTGACAAATAGGGTTGTGGAATCATTAATGACCCATGTTTTAATGAGCTTTTGAATTTTAAATGTTTTAACATATTGTTAAATTAATTCTTGTTTGTTTCGTTGGTTCCTTTTTCAAGTATTATATAATTTACTGTGGCAGATGTTTGATGTTATTGAAGTGCTGTTACATTTGAAATTATTATTCATAAAGTTTTCATTCTCAGATTAAGTCAATTTTGTCTAAGAGTGTGAATAGAGAAAGGATAAAATATTGGATTATTTGCTTGGCTAAGAGGAAGATAACATTTTTTTTTGCAGATCCCCTGGAAAATCTCCACCTAAAGAATCTCGTGCAGAATTTGTACGCAAATCTCCAAGTCCTAAAATGTCAATACCTTATACAAGTTCATACGAACCAGAACCTGGTCCTGTAATTCGAAAGGGAACACATGGCCAAATGTAAGATATTTCTCATATTTACTTGCACTTCTTTGAATTCTTAAGCAAGGTATAACAGATCAAGGTTTTGCCAATTGCGATTCATATGCCATTTTTTGGTATTCACTGTGTTGTCAAAATCCTGTTGATCTGTTTTGAATGTTTTGATGATCATGTGATGTTGAGAAATTTTCTTTGCAGGCAAGATGTTGTGGCTAATTACATTAGATTGGAGGTTACCCAAGGAAAAGGAGTTTTCGAATATACAGTAGAGTTTTCTCCGGCTGAGGATAATATTTCAATGAGGACACGGATGATAAATCAGCATCTTGAGGCGCTTGGTGGTGTAAAATCTTACAATGGAGTCAGATTGTTTTTGTCCATACAGCTTAATGGAGTATGTTCCAAATTTCAGATTTTTAATTAATCTTCCTTTCATTACACTCTTTGCATGCAACTGCAAGTGAAAATATTTTCTTAGAATATTCATGGTTGAAAGCTGCAAAAATGAAGAACATGATTATAGGTGCATCTTGAGCGTGTGTTTTAATTTTATAAGATGATCTCTGCACGCCAACAGCAATTGCCCAACTTTTATGTGGTAGTGTGCTATTGAGGGGATTGTGTAGCTTTGATACTGGTTAAACAGTGAGGGTGGATGAGCAAAGGCACTTGCATTAGTGGGTCTGGGGATGATTACATTGCTCTTTTCTAAGGTGGTGTTATGTGATAACAGACAAGAGTTGGTTTTGGATGTAAGTTGTGGCAATAATTTTTACTGTATTGTATTACAACTACTGTATTTTGTAATAGTTAGATCTGAAGTAGCTACTTGCAGATTTATTGTTTTGTATTGAGGTGAAATGTTTCATGGGCTCTTGTCTTTGACACTGCTGATGCTTCATTTGTGAAAAACAGTCCCACTCTTTGCTGCCTTATCATTGGTTGTATGATTGGATCTTAGTTTTGCAGTATGTTTTCTGATAACAACCTTTAGTTACGGAGGGTTTTTTCCTTCTGCGGTCATGGTGTTATGGACTTGTCCCAACAGATTTTTAATCGTAGCAAACTAGCAGCCAAGGTGGGCTAGTCTTTTGTAGGAAAGCAATGACAATTGATGGGCAGCAATCCACAATGAGGCAAATTGTATATACGAGCTAAAATCACTTTGGGAGATGTATGCATGGAAAAGCTTCGATGATTTTTATGGTAATGCGTGAAAATATTTCAACAAATCAAATAATATGTAAAACAGCAAATGAAATATTTAAATTGGAATACAATATTTTTAATGTTTTTATTTCTCTACATTTGGTTTTACCATACTAGGAGAAAATACCATAGGTCATGTGAATAATTGCATGTAAATGCTTATACTACCATACTACCAGCTTTGAAGTAAATACTTATGTTTCGGTGAATAATACTCAAGTACTAGTGTTTACTTAATAATAAATGCTTCTTACTTATAGTAAATACTTAATCTCTTTGTAATAATTTATTTTTTCAGCATTTACTTAAAGTATGTGAATAAAACAGATCTTTACTTTATTTCGTTAGTAAATACTATAAATATTTTTAAGCTCAGTGCTGATCACACTTCAGAAATCTTTCATAGTCCAGTTTAAGTTTTTTAAAGTGGGTGTTAGCTGCCAAGTACTGTGGCTGTATTTGGAATAACAGAATTTGTGTATTTATTGTGCAATAATGGCTGAATTTTTGAATTTATGAACTTGAAAAAACTACCGCACTTGCGTTACTTGCAGGACTGATTATCGGGTATTGTTTAGATTTGATAGAAAGAACGTAGAGTTATCAGAAAATATGCTAGGTGAGCTCAAAGGTTAGAAATTTTGAATGCGAGCAGTCAGTAATGAAACTGCAATTATACAAGCACAAAAACACTGCTTGCTGCAGTTACAGAAGCAATTAAACTAGTGTTTAAAAATTTAGTTTCCACTGAACTTATTACAAAGTGCTTGGGAGGGTATACACAAAACCCAAACGAGACTCTAAATTCTCTGATATGGAAGATTTGCCCTAAAACAGGTTTCTGTGGGAAAACAGTAGTTAAAATTGCAACTAATGATGCTGTTGTTACATTTAATGATGGCAAGAATAAAAGTTCCGAGTGAGATGGGGATTGTGCCAGTAGAATTTTGTAAATGTGCAATGCATCAGGTAGATTTGTCTATGTTAAAGTCTGCAGAGAAAAAAACCCTGCAGAGCACAAAAAAGGTAAGACAATTAAGAAGGACTTAAAGTAGAAGTGACCCAGAAATAAACAAATGAGGGAACATCTTATGTTGCAGGGGCATTCTAGGCTGTAATGATGTTCACAAGTATTGTTAGTAGTCATGTATTTTCATTGCTCATTTCCTGAAATTTAATTTTTCTAAACCATTTCCTTCATAAAATAGAAACTATTCATAAAAATTAACTGAAATTTTTTATGCAAGTTTCCTGCATCCATATCTACCAACATGACCAGAATTATGTTTCTCTAATCAATTCTTTGCATTTAAAAAAAGAGAATTTAATGTGAAATATGCACTGAAAATCTGTGCCGAAAATTTAAGAAGTAGTTAAAAATATTTTTAACACTTTCTCTGCTAATGATGCCTATAGGCGTCCGGATTGTTCGTGCCTCATGTACTAACGCTGCCTTTAGACATCTTGGACTTTGCGCAGCTGTTTTTAGTATTCTTCTCTAATGGCTGAGGGCCTGAAGCATATGTGGTGATATCTATTTGTTTTGTAAGCGTTTGAAGTTTAATTTGACACTTCTAGAGTGCATAACTATATGAATATTGGCTTCTATTGTGGACGATACAGGGCTCAATGAAGAAAGTTCAATTTTGTATTTCTTGTTATTTAGTGTTGTTAATAACATAGATAGGTTTTTGTTGTCCCTGAGAATGCTTCATTTCAGTGGTAATGTAGGACATGGCAGAATTTGCCTTTTCAAAATGGATGCAATGGGCGGGAGTATTGCAAGCTCATTTTCCCTTTTCAGGAAGTTGTGCGTCGATGAAAGCCTAATTTTATTCAAGGGAGAGTTGTTTTTTAGTATATCCCTTCATAACGAAGCAGGTTTGAAATCAAACTCTGTGCGGTGTGAATCTGAAAGGGGAATGAACATCGATATATTATTATTCGCCATGAGTTAAGATTCTTTTGTGAGAAATGTAATGTGGGTCTGAAAGTTAAACCGTTTTGGAGTGTTAACACAGGAAAAGGAATTTCTAAATATCTAATAATACCAAAAAGTTCAAAAAAGTTTTGAGATGCCCGTTTTTTGTGTTTTAAAATGAATTTCTGTTTGAAACGCTTGTTTTAAAGTGAATTTTACAACAACAACAAAATTATTCATTTCAAAAGCATAAAAATATTTACATTAAAAACAAAATTAGAAATTAAAAACAAAATTAGAAATTAAAAACAAAATTAGAAATTAAAAACAAATTAAAAAATGAAAACAAAACCTTAAAAATGTATATTTCTAATTTAGCAAGTATTGTTCAAAAGTCCATATTAAAAAGAATAGGATGTATGCAAGTTTGTCTAGTGGCACCACAAACACTGTGACAATGCGTGCCCTTCGGATCCTGGAAAATGCGCTGCACACACTGGTCGCAGGCCACTGCGGTGTGTCAATACAGGACGGCTACGCACTGGGAGAGGTTCTTAGCAGCAAAAAGGTTAAACTGTCTAGAATGTTAATTGTGGTCATATTAGTAGATGTGATATGTAGCATGTATCTTTATTTATTTATTTATTGATTTACAGGCAGCAGTAAAAACTAAGAATGCCTGAATCAGGCATATAACATTTTGAACGATAGTTAATATATATATAAATATAATAAATCTCACTCATAGTTATGTAAAAGAATTTTGTTGGTTACTTAGGTACAGAGCTTGAAATGAAGTAGAAATAAAAAAAAGATAAACAATATAAATTATAGATAAAAAATTATTAAGTTATGAGTAATGTATGTGTAGGGGTTCATATCTTGATTAGTCATCATATTGTAAACTACTTTGAAAGTTCGAACACTTGGTTAGGTAACAATTTCTTCTGATAGATGATTCCAGAACTCTACAATGCGATTTGATAGGAAGGTTTGTTTTTGGAGTTGTTTAAATAAGTGGGGAAATGATTTCACAGCAGTAATTGCCCCGGTATTCAATCTACTGCCAAGTCTTGCAATGTCAGTCTTCTCCCCTCTCCTCAAATCTTACTTCCCCCTACTTCTTTAACTTTTAGCTCTCTCGCGGTCAGACAGCCGACTCGTAAGTGCAGAATGCCCACAGGAGCAGGTGTTGTGCAGGCCTATTTTAAATTGTGTGTGCTCCCTACCTATGTTGGTATCTTTGACCAAAGATGTTATGGCTTTGTACCATACTGGACGTTTTTCAAATATCTATGGCTTTATAGCCAATCAGATAAACTTTTTTTTGCTCCCAGTTATGGATAAACAATTAGTTACGATAAAAATCTATAAACCTTAATTTTCATTGCGTTTCATTTATTTTCTTGTATGTCTTTATAAATCAATGAATTGACAACTACTGTTTTGGTTTTTTTTTTCTCTCCAGTTTCTTTGTACTATTTAATAACCAAAATTTACACAACCTACTTTTTGCACAATATTAAGTTTTTTACGCATTATCTGGAAAGTAAATAAAAAATTTCAAGTGAATCAGTTTCTGTGTCTCGGGTGTTTTCTTGAGTCGTGGTCATTGAATCAAGTGATTGTCAGTGGAATAAGATTTTTATCAATTTTATAGAATTTTATTTTTAAGTTTTGTTTGTGTTTTTGTGAAGAACATTTTGAAATGTGAAGCTTTTTGTTTGTAGGTGACGAGTTTTAAGTGTACGCATCCAGTATCAGAAAGCCTAGTGACGATGACTCTTTATTGTAAAGGACCTGCCAAAGAAAAAGATTGCGCCGATATTTACAACATGTTGTTTAGGAGAATCATGGCTCACCTGGGCCTAAAGAATATGGGCCGCAAATTCTTTGATCCTTCAGGTGCTATTAATATAACTCAACACAGGTGAGCAACGTTTTTTAACTTTTGAATTAAAGAATAGTCTGAGGGAATGGAGTGATTTTTAAATCAATATTTATTTATTTATTACAACAAATGGATGGTTCCTTTACAAAGTATTATCACAAGTGAGACAAAACTATAAAATATCATCCTAAAGTGCTTGTAAACACAGAAAGTTACAAAGAGCAATAGCACATTGGGTTTTAAATATTGAGGTATGTAAAAGTCAACAAGATTACAATGTTATTTCAAAAATTACATAATCTTACAATTGTGTTGTTGGCGTAGTGCAAAGTTCGTTTTTGTATTGTAAATTTTAAAAAAAGGTATGTGTTGTCTAGTAGTTTGAGGGGGCACATAGAGTGAAATTTAGAAATAGTGTCAAGACATTCAATATACTATGGGGTTATACCAGATCATCAAAAATTATCTTGCTTACAATGATTGTAAATCAGAAGATATTCTGTGTAGTCTTTGTAATTATAATTTCTTATTCATGATTCCTTCTTATGGAATTCATGGTATTGCTCTAGATTGGATAACTTCATACCTTAAACGTCGATCTCAAAGAGTAGAAATACCATACTGGCAAGAAAAGACCTTATTTACTTATCTTTCCAATTCTTTATCAATTAAATATGGGACTTGATCTTAGGTCATATCCTCCTTCTGTTATGTGTTATGCTGTCGTCTATTAAAAACGGAAGAACGGTTCTGTTTGCCGTGACACGAATGTTCTTTGCAAAAAAGAATCAATAAATAGTATGATTTTAGAAGTTTCAAATTGGTTTTGTAATAACAAATTAATAGTTAATGAAGGAAAAACCGTTTCAATGCATTTTTGCCTTTCAATTCAATCGCATGCTCCATTGAAAATGAATACTATGCAATTAGGTGATGCTCAGGTAACAAAATTTCTAGGCCTGTCAATTCAGTCAAACCTCAAATGGAATGTACATATAATACAACTAAACACTAAATTAACTTCATTATGTCACACATTCAGTCAATTCTATAAAATTCTGTCAGCCTTCATGGAACTCGTTGCGTATATTTCAACATTGACTACCCTCTGACACCTTTCAATCTCTAGCGCTGTTGGAAGAACATTCATTATTTTTGTAACCTCATCTGCTTTGTGTTCTGAAAAATTCTTTATTCTCAGTGACCTAACTGGATTGGTAATAACTAGTTTTGAACTAAGGATTTATGGAAAGATGAAGTTTTAAAATGTATTTAATTTTTTTTTGTTAATTTAATTTAAAATATCCATTGACAGTATATTATATGCAATGCCCTCTGTAGAGTATGTAATATTATGAAATTACTTGAGAACATATAATTTGTTTTAAAATCATTCCTTTACTAACTTCTTTCGGGGATGCAACTCTTAAAAAGTATCAGAAAAGAATTAAAAAATAAATGTTATGATGATGAATAATGTTTCACTTCACTATCATACCATTCTTGTAAATTAACAATTCATATCATTGCAATGTGAGACATAACTATTAGGAAAAAAGCATTTAAGTATTCAACTTCAGAAACACATTTCACTCGTTCGATACAATCCTCATTTCTTTACATAGTTAATGTAAAGATGTGTGAATACCAAATCTTCCTATATATTAACTGTAAACATTTTAATAAATACATAGATATCCCAGTAGGTTAATAACAAACTTAAAAATTTTAGAGATCAAGGCTCATCAATATGAAATAAGTATGAAAAACCAAAATTGGTGTTCCATTAAAACATCTAATCTTTTCCAAGATTTTGTTCTAAAAAAATATTTGGTTTCAATTTGGGTAAAAATTGAAGACTAATACTAGTATCATTTGTTCTTTCTCCTCAGACTGGAAGTCTGGCCTGGATATGTAACTGCTGTTCAGCAGTATGAAGGAGGAGTGCAACTGTGTTGTGATGCCTCTCATCGTGTAATGAGAACAGATTCTGTTTTGAAAGTTATGTAAGTTTAGTATTGATTTTCCTTTCTTGCATATTGAGAGAAAAGGTTAATTTTATTGGAGGGTGTCATTAATAGTAAGAGGCATGTTCATGGAAGCAAGATATTTAATTTTTATTCTTTAAGCTAAGTATGTATCACAATTTCCTTTGGTTCAAACTTTTTGCTAAAATTCATCATGACGTTAGGAGGGTTTAAATAAGTCCTGTCCCCTATTCCACAGGCCTGGTGGTTACACTACCAATGTACCTGTTGCCTCTGTTTTATCTTTGATCTTCCTTTCTCTCCTCTGTGTAGTTTGTTATAAATAATATTCTAGAACTGCACACTGGCATGTACTGGACCCAATTATTTCAGATTCACACCGAGTGGAAATCTGATGATACCCAAATATCACATTATGTAAATTTGAATTACACTATTAGCTTGCCCTCGTGCTACTTAGTCTCGGTTGGTGCCAATACTTCGCCGAGGATAGAAGCTCATTCAGTGGTGGTGCAAGTAGGGTATTCTGGGACCCAGTGTGTAGTTTCTGATTGTTCCACCAACAAATAATAAAATTCAAAAACTATTAATAACTTATAATGGTTATCTCGTGTAACAGTGAATTCATAACATTTTTGTTCTATCTGCATTGTTTTGGGATTATTCCAATGTGTATTTGAAATCATTCTGTTAAAATGTAAAGAAGAGTATAAGTAAAAAATTTTAAAATTTATTTTTTAAATTCCATTTTTGTATTGTTTTTGTTTCTATGCATTCTTAAATGAAAACAAAATACAATAACACCTTTGAATCAAGTGTAATTTTGGAATCTATTGCAAAAATAAAAATCATTGAGGTCCGTGAGACTCTAGTGTGCTGTTAATGTAACAAAAAATGTGTGCAGTTGCAGATATCTTTTATATGAAGATGTCCATTGATGGTATTTTTAAAACGAGAGTATTGCAATCTGAGGTCTCAGAACAATTTCTGCAGAGGGAAGAACACTTCTCATTAATTCAAGGAAATTTGTGAAAAATCGTATTTCGAATTAGGTGCTCTTTAACATCCTAATTATAAAATGTTCTGAAGAAACGGTTCAACGAATTCGACAGTTAAACAAATTCGATGATTTTTTTCATAGCATATTTAGGTATTTATGTTAATGTTTCATATTTTTGTTATATTTAAGTTAATATGTTATGCTTTTTTTCTTAATGAGACATAGTGTGTGTGTGAGAGCTCAGATATTTGCCCACTCGTCATTGAAACCCAGGATCATTAACTTAGGTGCACACGCGCTAATTGAAATGTGGCGCGTCGGCGACGTCACCGCCTGACGTTGGGAACGGTCAAGTCGAGCGGAACGCGCACGGACCGATGAAAAATTTAAAGGGAAAAAATAAACTTCAAATCGCCATTGGCTTCAGCGGTAAAAGCGAGGAAACCAACGTGAGAAATGGTTTCTTTCTTTTTTTTTGTTTAGGTATGAGATTCTTCTAAAAATTCTTGTAGAGAATAGTCGGAGCTCGGAGCGTTATAGAGTGTAAAATCCGTCGGGTTACTGTTCTGTTCGGTTCGGCTATTACGCCGTGTAGTAAAGGAAAGAATCCTTATCTCCGACGTGGTGAAAGAAGCCCCTCGTGTTTAAGAACTGAAAATACGTGCGTAAGATACGTCGCTTTATTAGCAGACGAATAGATTAGAACTGTACTACGCCCTGACCGTGTCGAGCGAGGGAATAACGTTACGAAAAAGTGTGTAACCTGAGTCATCGTCAGTAAACCTAAAAGCCACCATTGGTTGTCACTTTGAACAAATTCCTGCCTAAAACTGAACTACGACCCACCATTATCTCATAATACGATACAACGGCTGCGACGAAAATTCGAGAACACACAGTTTCCGATCGATGCACGTTGAAGGCGAAGTCGGAGGAAACGAGGAACGAACGTGTGCAACTGAGAAGTGACAAGCTCAGCGCTGGATCTAGTCCTCGGTCCAAATCCGAGGTCGCAGGCGTTTCCGGAGGGGTACCGAATGCCAGCGGGTCGAGGCAGCGCTGAACCAGCGCTGCCACGTACAGACGCGTACGTGGGGCTAGGACGTCGGGGCGGAGGGCTGGTCGACAGTGTGGGGGTTCTGCGGTCTTTACGCCCAGTGAGCTGAGTTCGCAGAGTTCATTCGCGCATGTTCTGGAAGAATCAGTACACGTGCGCGAGAAGGCAGGGACGATAAAATTGTATAACCGATTTACTAGCATCCAAATTGAAACAGGAACTAAAGAATTAATTTATTACAATATTTAAAGTGTTGATCTAAAGAGAAACAAATGTTAAATTCAACAATTGTGAAGGAAAGAGCAAAGTATTAATTGACAATAGTTAAACAATATAGACAAAACTTGTTTGGGTGCATAATTTGATTGTCGATTTTAGTTTTGAAAATTTTATTTAATAATGTTAATTGTGAACCACCATAAGCTCATGAAATAATTATTTTGCAAACTCTATTTGGTTAAAGCCTGCTGAGGTTGTGTTGAAACCTGCACCAGTTGGTTGTCGATTATGAAAACACAGTTCACAATTTTAAAACAAGAGTTTAGAATTGAGAGAATTTAGAGATTGAAAGGGCTCATTTTTTTAATGAACGTCAGTTAGTGTGGCCGTGGTCAAACACCACTTATGAATGCGAGCATCACTTTAATTTTATAATTCAATGTAACATAACACAACTCTTTGTTTTGATTGAAGAATATATTGTTTTGCGTTTCAAATTTTTATAACTTCATTTAGATTTAAATTTATTTGTTAAGAAAAAAACCCAGTAAAAACTGTTTATGACAAGAGGGGGAGATCCTCATTTGCATGCGTTTTCTTGAGTTCCAGAATTCCTCATCATTTTAACTAATGCTGTTGAACTATTTATAGATGTTGAAAGATGAGTAAATAAATAAATAAATAAAAATAAAATTTAAAAAAGTGTGAGACAAGCTATTTTTTAAGAAAACCAAATATTTCTGAGTTATGGAAAACTTATTTGCACCGGTAAACGAATTACAGATATGATTTTTTTGCATTGTTAATAATATAGTAACTCGCCCTTACCTCTACTCCTTCCATTACAAGCAAAAGGAGAGTTCAAACATGTGCATAGTGAAGCTACATTTACGTCCAGAAGCAAAACAAGGTGCATTTGCAAGGGGCCATCTCAGCATTTGCTCAATGGATCAGGGAAACTGGACAAAAATCTGATCGAGATGGGGGGGTCATTGGCCTGGAAGCTGAAGTACATTATTTTGTTACAAGCATATTAAGTCTTAAAAAAAATATATATACAAAACAAATGTAAACTAATTCATTATGTATCACTGTTTTGTTAAAATAAACATTATTTTTCTTTTTGATGATCAGTAATAATCTCTAATAGTATAGAAACATTTATGCAGCAGAAAAAATTTACTTTTAACTGAAATTTGTGAACCGACTTCAGTTATTTAATATCATCTGGCATCAACCTTAATTACAGTGAGCTATTTACGTTCATATAAATTTTCCTGAGAGATCTTGTAATTAGAGTTCTTTTCATGACTTTATTCGCAACTGAGATAGTTAGACATCCACATTTTGTCGACGTTGATCTATTTCTGCTCAATTACTCGTTTATACGGGTACTCATGCTCCTGGTTACTGGTCGTGAGAAAGAACCTGACAAACGCCAAGGGAGCGACGGCGTTTGCTCGAGTGACCTCGCCCTCCCTGGCGACTGGCAGCCCGTCGCGAGGGCGACGCGGGCCGAAGGTTGTTCTCGGCCTCGCCACCTAATGGTGCTCCTTCGGGGCAGCACGCAACCTCTGCACGCTGGTGGGCCGCGCAGCTGGATGGCTCCAAATTGGATGGCTTCGATCTGGCTGCGCTCTGGCTCCACGTTACTTAGCGTCTGGTCGAGGGCTCTCACAAATTTGCTCGTCCGTAAATTGGATCGTTGGACTCGGCTTCCATGAAGATGTGGTTAGGATGCTTCATACTGAACAGGCGGCAAACTTTCATATTAACCAGAATTCCAGCAAAGCTGAAATTTTGATCTATAGAATGGCCTCTAGGCCCTGAATGAAACGGTCAAAGCAATAAATATTTCACATGAATCACCTCTATGCTACACTTCTTGAGCAAGTGGTTGGTTTTGTGAGATTATAGATTGTTTTGCATTCAGTGCATTACTGTTATTTTTCATTGTGCTGAATGTCAGCTCTGTGTCTTTCACTCCAGGACAGTGCTTTGATTAGACAATTATTCATATTCTGTCTGATACAAGACACACAGTGGATTGCCGCTTCCTTTTACAGCACTTGCTTGATGTCTTAAAATGGACTCGCACTTGCAACCTTGGGCAAAGATTTGCGCCCCAATCAGTTAAGCTATGGGGTGGGCATTGAATGAAGAAAGGTATTAGAAATAGATAAATCTTTCAGCTACTATGAAAGTAATGTTAAATAAATTACCCACAAATGTACGATATGAACATTTTGTTTATGTTCACATAAAATGTATTGAATGTGTTATACATGGATTAATCTATAGGAACGGAAATGGATAAACTTTAAAATGATTATTCTCTTCTTGAATCTTTTATTTATGGGGAGGAAAAAATAGAAAAAACCTCGTCTTGGGAACATGTGTAACATTGGCTGGGAGGGGAAGGGCTGTTGGAATCGAGACCCCACCCATATGCACTCCAATTTTTTCACAGATAAAACAAGGAATGCTTAAAAGAATTTTTTAGGTCTCATTTTTGTATATCTCTCTGAATTTTTGAAAATTGCATGGTGGAAATGTAGGGTTGAGACAATTCTACTTTCAAGGATCTGCCTGACTTGGAAAATCCCATAAGTTTCAAGGTATAGAGTTAGGAGTACAGCTTGGAAGACCTGAGTTTGAGTCGGTGTGGAAAAAAATTTGATTGAAAGCAGATTCATGTGGTATTGTAATAATATTGTAAAACACAAATAATGTGAGAAAGTATGTGCCATTGTATAGCACTAACTTATTTCAATATTGCTATAGTACTACTAAATATATGGAGCTTGGTTTAAGAACCATAAACGACCATGTCATTTAGTGTAAGAATATTACACATTCAAGATTATTGTATGGAAATGCCTGTGTCATTGGTGGTTCTTGCACCAGTCCACAGGTATTTTGGAAAAGTCATAAAACTTTCCAAAGTTTCATTTATCATTTCCCAGTAATATAAAGAAGTTATACTATTTTGTGACCAAAAACTGTCTCCACCTTCCCTCATATCAGAATATCTTCCTGGTCTCTTTGAGTTTTTCTTTGCACTCCAGTTCCAACTCCCCTCCTTCCTATGTGGTATATTTATAAAATATTATTTCATTTACACTGCCATATTGCATCATAATTTTTACCAATAAGTAGATTTCATTATCAAACAATCCTTGTGTTGTTTCCATGGGTTTTCATTTATGATTGTCGCAAGTTTAAAATTATTACACCAAGATTTGTATTTTTCATTGTAGGGCAGATATGTTTAAAGTAATGTCAGTGCAGTTTGTATTTCTTTCTTTTTGAGAATAGAATGTACAGCTGTTGTCTCATTTCATATCTTTGGTCTTTTCAGAAGTATACTTGCAGAGGCAAATCCTCGAAATTACAGAGAGGAGGCCATGAAGGTGGCCCTGGGGGCTGTTGTGTTGACTAGATACAACAACTGTGTTTATAGAGTGGATGATATCAGCTGGGATAGAACTCCTGAAAGTACTTTTACAAATAGTGATGGAAGGGAGATATCCTTTCAAGAATATTACAGAGTAAATTACCAAATTGAAATCAAAGACAAGGACCAGCCTTTATTGATATCACGAGTGAAACGCAGGAAAGATCCATCCAACAAAGAAAACGAAGTCAGGATGATTTGTCTCATTCCTGAATTGTGCTATATTACTGGGTTAACAGATGCTATGAGAGCTGACTGGAGAATCATGAAGGATCTAACTCAGAAGTTGCAGCTGACTCCCTCACAACGTTATGAAGGACTCTCAAAGTTCTTGGAGAACATTAACAGTAAGCATTGATTTATCCATATTATTTTACTTGAACCTCAAAACAAATTTGCTTGGCTATGTGCATTAACAGTTCTGTTTAGGTGTGTTTATTTATCATTAAAGTAACTTTACTTGGATGTAACATAGTGACAGTTGAATGACATGTCTTGATAGTTGAATGTTAAAATTAAAGTATATTTGTGCATCTATCTTCATTGAAATTTATTGGGGCAGACACCAGTGTTGTGTTAATGAATATTACCTTTACCTTACATTTTCCAAACATTTAAAGCATCCACTTTTAAAACTGCTTTCTTCAATTTTTTAAGGAAACACAACAGTTTTGCCCTGATATGCTCCAAGGAATAATATAGTATTGAATGGATTTTTAACATTGTTTACTTAGGATACCTTCTGTCTTCCTTCCATATCACCCTTTCTTGAATTTGTAGTTTAGAGAAAATTATGTAATGATGAGAAAATCAACCTCAATATTTTCATGGAATTATGCATCTACAGAACTTCTGCTACCCAAAATGTTTATTTTAAAAATGTCTGAACAACGTTGAAACCTAAACCATGAAGAATGTACAATTCTGGTTGTGCTTGGTTGATGAAACGAGTTCAAGATCCACAAGTATATCATATGTAATTTAATTGTAATTTTAAATAATTGCAAATGTATTCATTGTTAAGACAGTCACAACAAACATTTGTGACACCCACATGTACATTTTTACAAATTGATTTTAATGCTCATTATTTTACCCGTCAAGGTGGGTTGGTCCATGTCGTGATAGGGGGTTGCAGGGAGGGCTCTCAGGTATTCACCAGTCATCTTCATCTTCCCCATTGTTTATTCTTGTTCTTTTACAACATCCTGTCTCTATTCTTCTACCCCTTTAATTTCACTGCCGCCCCCCCCCCCCCAGCGGGTTATAGACATTTAGTCAAATAGTTATCAATATAGTGTAGATTTTTACATGAACGCAAGATGTCTGAATAGTGGTTTGTAAGTATTTCTTTGGACGCCAGGGTGTTTGTGACAAATGTAACGACTCCGCCATGTGCCCTGAGGCCATCATTAATGTTTTGCCTCTAGCAACAAAAGCCACGAAGAGGGAGGGAATGCTCAGGCAGATGTTTCTGCAGGCAGATAACATTAGGTCTATATAGAGACCTTTTCTGCTTTAATTCATCGAAATAGGTGCGAAAGCCATTTTGGTTCCACGAGAGGAGTGCTATAAGTTTTAGATGTTAAGTTGCTTTGCTTCCAAGAGTTTTTTTCCCTCCCTTTTTCTGTTTAAGCCTCTTGCTCGAAGGGGTGACTGTCCACCCTGGCTGAAGTTTCCTCAGAGGCAGATTCCTCCTGAGCACTACTTGACGGTCTAAGAGATTGCTCAGAGCGAATCTCAGGAGTCTGGGTAGATGGTCAGAGTTTGGAGGAACAATGTTTTTTAAGTTTGTCTGGGTCAGAAGACTGAGTGACATCCGCCTTCATATGGGGCGGAAAAGTGGATTGTAGATCAGACTTCGCCTGTGTGTTTTTTTTGGACAATTTGTGTTTGGAGGGAATTCTTGTCTTCCCATCTTGCAGAGGTGATGTCTCCTCAGGGAAGTCCACTGGGGAGATCTGGCAACAGATATAAGCAACTGGAGTAGTAGCAGGTGAAGTCTCACAATTTGCTGTTGCTTTTGCCGCCTTGGCCAGAGTACTAGAAAATGATCGCTGAAGATCTACAGGGTTCTTCACTAAGTATTGACGTTTTGCCTCAGGAAAAGATACTTCCTCAGTCACTGATCTTTTGGATCTCCCGCTCCCGCAGATAAGTAGGGCACCTGTTCTTATGGTCTCCTTCACAGTTAACACAGTGAGGTGGGAAGGCACATGGATCCGTAGTGCCACACTTTTCACAAACAGTGCTTATGGCCACCATTGTTGGGGATGGCTGAACCTCTGACACTTGAAGCAATGCAGGGGGTTTGCCACATACTGCCGCACATGGAAATTATAAAACACAACTAATCCTCTCTGGGAGAGAGGGGAGATTAAATATCAGAGTGAGAGTAGAGTTCTCTCCCATTCTCCTTGCTCTTGATGATGGGGATGATGTTTGGAATCACCTTGTTATGATTTTCAAAAGTTGATGGAAAATTATTTCTTTGCAGACAATAAACAATCCCAGGAACTGTTAAAAAAATGGGGGTTGCAGGTTGAAGCCCTGCCAGTAAAACTTGTTGCAAGAGTTGTTAAACAGGAATCTATCCTTTACAAAGACGGAAAGGTAGATTTACCTCCTGGAACTTCAAATTGGGTTGTAAACAACCAACTTCTTGTATCAGTAAGTATTATCGTGTTAACCCAGCCCTTTTTCTTTCTAGAGGGATTTACTAATTCATCTTGATATTATAGGATTTGTGTGACAAAATCCTTGCAATGGGCAAAAAAATTGTGATGACAAGAATTAATTTTCTTTACCAAATCTTCAAGTATTATATGGAGATAAAATAAAAAAAAAAAAGTTTTGATGGGAATGTCAAACCATGAATTTATTGATGTAATGGTATGAACTCATTTATTCGCGCCTTTGGTATCAAACAACTCTGTAGACAAATCAATGAACTTGCTCCCAATTTAAAAAATTACATGCTTGGAAAATAATTTACTACTGTTTATGTTCTACAATAAGTCCTCTTAAATTTTAAATCCGTTATTTCATATTTATGATTGAAGGATCTTTATTTACAAGGCAAAAAATAATAGCGTTTTAAAATCTTAGAAGTCTTTATGTGTGAATTTGGCATTGTAAAGGCACAAATTGTAGAAAAGTCTATTTGATACATGGGTAGGGCAAGGGTGGGAAAATCTATTTATAGGCTAGGAGTCCAATAAGAAAATCAATGGAAAGTTAAGAGATGAAACTTTTTGAGTAGTGAGTCAGTGTTAGGAGAAATGGGGAAACTCAAATGTGGTAACCTGTAGGTGTTGGCCCTGTGCTGCACAATTTTTTTGAATGTTTTTTAAAACTATGCTCTTGGGGTATATACAGCTAACTCACGAGCTAATTCTTGTTGTATATTGTTCATTAGATAGCCAAACTGTGAAAAAATGCGGCTTTTTCAAACTGTGTGCCATTTTGATTTCAGTGTTATTTTTTTTTATTGCCCCATGAATACTGTTATACCGAATATTTCTTTTCTAATGAATTAACATATACAGTGTGTAATGTATTACCATTGCATCTGTGTTTCTTTCAGAGCATAAAAATCTGAGAGGTCTCTCTTTCTTTCTCTCTTTTTCTCTTCCTTCTCTTTTCTCTCTCTCTTCCTCTCTCTCTTCCTCTCTCTCTTCCTCTCTTCCTCTCTCTCTTTTCTTTCTCTCTCTTTCTTTCTTTCTCTCTCTTTCTTTCTCTCTCGTTTTTCTTTCTTTCTCTCTTTTCTTTCTCTCTCTCTTTCTTTCTCTCTCTTTCTTTTCTCTTTTTTTCTTTCTCTTTCTTTCTTTCTCTCTCTTTCTTTCTTTCTCTCTTCTTTCTTTCTCTTTCTTTCTTTCTCTCTTTCTTTCTCTCTCTCTCTCTATCTCTTTCCTCTCTCTCTTTCTCTCCTCTTTCCTCTGTCTCTCTTTCTCTTCTTCTCTCTCTTTCCTCTCTCTTTCTCTCTTTCTCTCTCTCTCTTTCTCTCTCTCTTTCTCCTCTCTCTTTCTCCTCTCTTCTTTCTCTCTCTCTTTCTCTCTCTCTCTTCTCTCTCTCTCTTTCTCTTCTCTCATTTACTCTTCCTCTTTTCCTTCTCCTCTCTCTCTCTTCTCTTTCTCTCTCTCTCTTTCTTCTCTCCTCTCTCTTTCCTTTCTCTCTCTCTCTTCTTTCTCTCTCTCTTTCTTTCCTCTCTCTCTTCTTCTTTCTCTCTCTCTTTATTCTCATCTCTCCTTTCTTTTCTTCTTCTCTTCCTCTTTTTCTTTCTTCTCTCTCTGTCTTTTCTCTTTCTTATCCTTCTTCTTTCTTTTCTTCTCTCTCTCCATTCTTCTTCTCTCTCTCTCTCTCTCTCTCTCTTCTTCCTCTCCTCTCATTGTCTCTCTTTCTTTTCTCCTCTCTCTTCTGTTATCTCTCTCTTTCTTTCTCTGCTCCTTCTTTCTCTCTCTCCTTCTCTTCTTTCTTATTTTTTTCCTCTTCTCTCTCTCTCTTTCTCTTCTTTCTTTTTCTCTCTCTCTTTCTTTCCGTTTCTCTATCTCTCCTCTTTTCTTTCCTTTCTCTCTCCTCTCCTCTTCTCTCTTTCTCTCTTCTTCTTTCTCATTCTTTCTCTTCTTCTCTTTCTTCTGTTCCTCTCTTCTTTCCTTTTCTTCTCTCTCTTTCTTTCTCTCTCTCTTCTATCTTTCTCTCTCTCTATCTTTCTTTCTCTCTCTTTCTTTCTTTCTCTCTCTTTCTTTCTCTCTCTCTCTTTCTTTCTCTCTGCTTTCTTTTCCTCTCCTCTTCTCTGCCTCTCTCTCTTCTCTCTTCTCTTTCTCTGCCTCTCTCTCTCTTTTTTATAAAATCTTTAGTAAGTGCTGGATATAATTGTTTAATCTTAACAATCAAATGCAAGTGAATTGTTGATTTGCAATGTTTTATGACACATTACTAACCACATAATTTTTTAAAAGAAATACGTAATTTTTAGATGAATTTATATGTAATGTCTCGGAGATAAATCTTGAATATTTTTTGGGTTGAATATCCAAAATGGTAGGGCTCTAAAGAAATCTTATTAACAGAAATAAAATGTATTTTCTTTGCCTTATTGATGTGTTTCTCTTACTCTTTCTCGGAAAGCTTTAATTTCAACAATTACTACAAAGGAGTACACATTTGTTGTGAAAAATTAGCAGCAATTTTGTATCAAAGAAAAACATATTTTTTGAGCTTAGAATACTACCATTTCTTCATATTAATTCTTCTTCTGCATATTAATTTATAAATTGCTGGATTTCTTCAAAACCGGCTTTCTCAAGAAAATTTTTATGCAATCCCTTTATCTCTTCATGCTTAACTTCTCCAGCTGATTGGATTCTATCCTTTGGGTTACAGAACAGGGGCCACTTACTGCATCTGTAATGAAAATATTTAAAAAAATGTTTTGCTAAAGCTACTCGCTCAAATTTCACAATAATTGTATAAATTACTGATATGTTATGCAATTTTAATTACTTTCATTAGAAATGATTAATAAAGCTCTAAAGTAGTCTAAAACACAGGTTGTTACAAGAAATGGCACAATATTAGATATAAACAAAGTAACAATGTAAACCCAATACACATAGCTGCGCTGTGCAGTTTTCCAACATAACCTGGACCGCACACAACTTCAAAAACTTTCTCTCCTGACTCTTACTAACCCACTACACAGTCGCAAAAAACTATCCTAACCTTCGATAGTTTTCATGTAAAATATTGAAAATTGCTTCAGGGTCTAATGGACCCCGGTTGCCCATATAAGGGTTAAAAATAATAAGTGTTTTCAATTGGGCCATGTGGCTGGCAAATGCAATTATTTTGTGCATTCTGAATTACATGTACTTTAAAATAGATGACACATGGAAAACACACTGGCATGTTCTGTAGTCCATACTCTGAAAGTGTAAGAGTTTCTCCTATTATATACGCCTCCATGGCGTAATCAAAGAAATGCGAGCTGTTTGATATTTGGTGATTGTGATTGTTTTGTTTATTTTCAATGTGTATGGCCACCCTGAATTTCTTTAACAAAGAATTAATGTTCAATTTCTTACATGATTTGTGATGTAATTTGCATCACTTACAATATTGTATTTAATGACTATATTTGAACAATCTAAATCACTTTTAAAAACTAGCTGTAATCTCACAATGCAATGTGTTTGAACTGACATTTCTAAGGCGTTCCCAGCGGCAGATTGGCTGTCGAACGGAAAGATTTTGTGGAGTGATGCAGTCTTCAGCGAGGCTCATGTGCTTTAGAACCTATCTTAATTGGCTGCTGGCCTGAACTGAGTATAACATTTGTGATGTTTATGTTTACTGTTAAGTGTTTATTCTCTTGCCTTTTTCACTCTTTTGAATTTGTTTTTGTAATAACTTTTAACCTTTATTTTTACAGAAAGATATTCAAAACTGGGCAATTCTGCACATTGCTCAAGATACTAAAGTTGCTCAAGACTTCGAGAGCAATATGCGCAAAATGTGCTCTCAAATGGGTATGAAAGTATATCCTGGCAGACTAGTAAAAGTATCTGAAAACCGCAATGAGAGCTTCCTGGATGCTCTGAGATCAACAATTGCTCCGCAGTTACAGCTAGTAGTAATATTTTTCCCATCGTTAAGATCAGATCGATATGCAGCAATTAAGAAAGTGTGTTGCATTGAACGGCCAATTACCTCACAGGTTAGTAGTACCCACTTTCAATACTTTCATGTTCATGAAACAAATGTGCTAGAATTCATTTGTATTGGAATCTTTTTTAATGTCTTTCTGTAAGATTTACTGATACTACAATTTTGCAAATCAGGTAATACAGAGTCGCACTTTGAGTCGCCCCGAGAAGGCTAGGAGCATAATCAAGAAGATAGCCATGCAGATTAACTGCAAGTTGGGAGGAGCTCTTTGGGGTCTGGCCATTCCTTTTGTAAGTAGTCTTTCTAAATGAGTTGTACATTAGGTATCATTGTTACTTAACTTAATTTGTACATGATAAATCAAATTGAGTTTGTAAAGAAAGTTGGTCAAGTAGAAGATTAGTTGGCCTGCTAGAAAAGAAGTTATGGGATGTATTGGAAGACCATTATTGGAGTAAATATTCATATATACCTTTTTCAGGGAACTGAAGGGAAAACACATGACTGAAAATAAGGAAAATTTACATGTTAATGCCTTGACTGCTTTAGATGTGTTACTACGCATAATACTTCCGTAAGTGATAGCCTCTGGACAAGTTAGTATGCTCTGTCTGGTTGTCACCAGGACCGTCTGTGTGACTGTCCATCGTCTGTGTGACTGTCCATCGTCTGTGTGACTGTCCATCGTCTGTGTAAAGAGAGAGATATAGCCTCTGGAAAGTAGTATCGCTCTGTCTGGTTGTCACCAGGACCGTCTGTGTGACTGTCCATCGTCTGTGTGACTGTCCCACTCGTCCTGGGTGGGGTGGAACCTGTTTAAACCCCGTCCGCCCTTTTTGGTGGGAAACTTTTGTTTCCCCCCCCACGCCCCGGTCCCCCTGGGGTTTTGGGGGGGGGTGAAAAAAAACTTTTTGTTCCCCACCCGGGTTCCTGGTGGGGGGTGGGGGTTTTGGAAACCTGAGTTTTCCCCGCACCGTCCCCCCTTTGGGGGTTGTGCGCGAAAAAACTTGTTCCCCCCCCCCATACCGTCCCCCTGTTGGTGAACTGTCCACCGGTCTTTGTTTGGGTTTGACTGGTTTCCACCGTTCCCTTTGGGTGGGGTGACCCTGTTCCCATCGTCTGTTGTGATCTGTCCCCACTGCTGTGTGACTGTCCCAATCGGTCTGGTGGAACCTGTCCCACTCGTCTGGGTGAACTGGTCCATCGTCCTGGTGGGTGGGACTGTCCACGCTTACGTCACGTTGTGTGACTGGTCCCACCGTCTTTGGTGAACTGTCCACGTCTGTGTGACTGGTCACCCTGTGACTGATCGTTTGGACTGTCCATCGTCTGTGTGACTGTCCCACTTCGTCCTGTGTTGACTGTCAACGTCTGTGTGACCTGTCCATCGTCGTTGCGCCATGTGTGTACTGTTCCACTTCGTCCTGTGTGAACTGTCATCTCGTTCTGTCCATGGTGTGACTGTCCACTCGTCTGTGTGGACTGTCCACCGGCTGAGGCAATGTTTTGCCACACCGCGTTTTCGCTTAAGTACTCTAAATAATGAAGGAGGTGTGGCGACGGCCCGCTTGGTCAAATGGTGGAAGACGCCCAAGTGCTGGCGCATCTCCTTCTGACGGCGTTCACTCTGCTTTTGGAGCCATTTCAGAACTTGGCAAGTAAAAAAATTGGACTGTTCACCTGTTTGTCCTTGTGGCCAAAACTCTGAGGTGGACAATGCTCTTTTGTGAAAAACACCGTGAAGCATGACTTTACACGGGACTTGCTCCATTCTCGCTTTTTGGGCGCGAGGGAAGCTGGCAGTGGTGCCCTCAGCACTTGTCTTTTGTCTCTGGGTCAAATACTCGAAAACCTATGTTTCGTCACCCGTAATCATCACATTAATCCAAAAAATTCGATCATTTTCCAGACTGGCTTTCCACGAGCGTCACGCGAATCCAGCAGCTTCTGTTCAATCGGAAAGCACCTTTGGGGGACCATCTCCGCACAGATCTTCTGCATGCCCAAATCTTCGGTAACAAATCAAAACACAGTACTTTTAAGGGATAATTACCTCATCTGCCAGCATTTCTTCACTCAGCGTCGATTCGTGTGCAGCATGTCCTCACTTTCTTCACATTTTGAATCGGCAATGTGACCGTTTGACGGGCGTCCAGAGCGGGTCTTCATCCTTCGGCGCCCCTCTCTGCCCTCCTGAAACGTCTTGCTGTCCAGCGGTAAACATATTGTTGGACATGGTGCTATCGCCATAAGCTTCCTTTGCATGGCAACGGTCTGATCGCCCGTTTTTTTCTGGACGCGCAAACAAAATTTTATGCGTAACGCTGGGTCCCTTGAAGTGGCATTTTAAAATTCGACGCGTGCAACTAGCACAAGGGTTCAAACTAGGCAGCGGATGCCGCACTGTGGACAGAGGCCTGCAGACAACTGATGTGTTTGTCATTGGCTCCTAAACACCCACACATACTATCACGTCACTTGGCGTGCTCTTGCTAGTGGCTTGCTTCGGCGGTGCAGATTCATTCAACTTCTTTTGGACAGACCTTGTATATAATAAATATTAAACACGCGCTTTGCGTTGTGCTGACAAAGCATTCCTCTTTCCTCGGCGCGCTTAACGGCCCCCTCCCAGGTTCCTGCAGGAGACGGGCGATTTCCGGCTCCTTCACGCAAAGCGCAATACCTTATTAAATACAAATATTCAATTACTCGTCGCCATCTGATAAATGTGCGACTGTCCCATTACATTTACCCCATCCACCGTACTAGCAATGAAATCCGATGAGTAAACAATGGTTTTCATGGCTCCAAAACACTTATGGTGAACGGGGAGCACGCAAAGGTCGAAAGCACTAATTACAACCAACCGTTTAGTCTGAAAAACTACACAAACGAACGGTGGACGCTAACAGTGCATTACATTCTTCATAAATGATAGTCCCCACAAATTCACTATAACACTAGTCCTATATAAAATACTTTATCAATCAACTAAAAAGCAAACCGGATTAATAAGATCCCACTACATGAAATGGTGCCTAAGATAATTTCATCTGAAAGAAACATAACTAACAAAACAGCAACTAACGCATTCGGCGATACAATTCTAACTTAAAATGATAATTTAATTAAATATCTATGACACCGGTGGACGATTTAACCAAGCAAAATACGGTAAGGGTCGTAAAAAAAGAATTTCCAATGCACAAAATTACAAATTTTCATCTACGGGTCAGACAACATGACTCAAGCCGTCGTAACAAGAATCCTGTGTAAAATTCTTGGGTCGTCGGGGATGAATTGGATTGGGCGTAAGAGAAACAAGAATCAATAAGCCGAAAAATATTTAACTCCATGTAATTTCCTAAAGTGAATATGAATTGCACGACCGAATCCGCGGTCTGGAACTGCAACCTGATTGACGCCTTCTAGGCATCAAGACAAATACCGCAACACCTCCATCCTTTCTTACTTTACAGGGGAAATTTAACAAATGGTGAAGAAGCCCTCTTAATAACTCCCTACGATCATGTCCCTGAAGATTGTCTTATTTACCTCTGTCTTAAAGCAAACGGAACAGGATAGAGTTTCTTGCATTTAAAATGGTGACTGGTCGGTTAATTGAATGCGAAAGGGAAAATCTTTAATTGGTTCTCTTGCCGCTGAAAAATTTCAAAAAAAAAAAAAAAAAAAATCTGTAACGTTCCGTCGTCGTCCGTCCGTCTGTCCGTTCCGTCCTTGTCCGTCTGTCGTCCGTCCTGTCCGTCCGTCAGTCCGTCTGTCCGTCCGTCCTGTCGTCCCGTCGTCGTCCTGTCCGTCGTCCTGTCCGTACCGTCTGTCCGTCGTCTGTCGTCCGTCCGTCTGTCCGTCCGTCTGTCCGTTCCGTCTGGGTCGCCGTCTGTCCCGCCGTCTGTCGTCCGTCTGTTCCGTCCGTCTGTCCGTCCGTCCTCCGTCGGTCCGTCTGTCCGTTCCGTCCGTCCGTCCGTCCCGTCTGCTCGTCCGTCTGTCCGTCCGTCTGTCCCGTCCGTCTGTCCGTCTGCTCCGTACGTCTGTTCCGTGCCGTCTGTCCGTCCTGTCTGTCCGTTCCGTCTGTCCGTCCGTCTGTCCGTCCGTCTGTCCGTCCGTCCGTCCGCTGTCCGTCAAAGCTGTTCCGTCCGTCTGTCCGTCCGTCTTGTCCGTCCGTCCGTCCGTCCTCGTCCGTTCGTCTGTCCGTCGTCCCTGTCCGGTCGTCCGGTCTGTCCGTCGCGTCTGTCCGTCCGTCTGTCCGTCCGTCTGTCCGTTACCCGTCTGTCGTCCGTCTTGTCCGTCGTCTGTCCGTCGTCTGTCCGTCCGTCTGTCCGTCGTCTGTCCCGTCCGCTGTCCGTCCGTCTGTCCGTCGTCTGTCCGTCCGTCCTGTCCGCCGTCTGGTCCGTCCGCCTGTCCGTCGTCTGTGCCGTCGTCCTGTCCGCCGTCTGTCCGTCCCGTCCTGTCTCGTCCGTCTGTCGTCCGTCTGTCCGTCGTCTGTCCGTCCGTCTGTCCGTCCGTCTGTCCGTCCTCTGTCCGTCCGTCCTGTCCCGTCGTCTGTCCGTCCGTCTGTCCGTCCGGTTCTGTCCGTCCGTCTGTCCGGTCCGTCTGTCCGTCCGTCTGTCCGCCGTTCTGTCCGTCCGTCTGTCGTCCGTCTGTCCGCCCCCTTCTGGTCCGTCCGTCTGTCCGTCCCGTCTGTCCGTCCGTCCGTCCGTCCGTCCGTCCGTCGTCCTGTCCGTCGTCGTCGTCCGTCCGTCCGTCCCGTCGTCCCGTCGTCGTCTGTCCGTCCGTCTGTCCGTCCGTCCGTCCGTCCGTCGTCTGTCCTCCGTCTGTCCCGTCCGTCTGTCCGTCCGTCTGTCCGTCCCGTCTGTCCGTCTTGGTCTGTCCGTCCGTCCGTCCGTCTGCCCGGTCCGTCTGGGCCCGTCCGTCTGCCGTCCGTCTGCCCGTCCGTCTGCCCGTCCGTCTGCCGTCCGTCTGCCCGTCCGTCTGCCCGTCGTCTGCCCGTACCGTCTGGTTCCGTCCGTCTGTCCGTCCGTCTTGTCCGTCCGTCCGTCCTGTCCGTCCTCTGTCTGTCTGTCTGTCTGTCCGTCTCTGTCTGTCCGTCTGTCTCTGTCTGTCTGTCCGCCGTCTGTCCCTGTCTGTCTGGTCCGCCCGTCTGTCCTGTTCGTCTCTGTCGTTGAAATATGTCCAAAGTCTCAGACATCTATAACATCTTGCTTATGTGGGTTTTTCCCCTGATTCTACAGTTTAACCCATCTGGTCTGAATATGTCCTGCCCATTATAAGCTTTTTAGCTATCTCTTCTCTCATTCAACATTGGGGCTAATTTGTATTCCTCCGTAATCCTCTTGGCATCCTACAGGTGGGTGGGCATCCTGGTATATTTGCCACGTTCTATTTTTTGCTCACCACCTCAACCCCCTATCCGCAGTGACCGTTTCATCAGTATCTCTTAAATTCTATTAGGTGCTTTCGTTCTAGCGCACTCACTTGAGCTAATTCCCTCCGCTTTCTCCAAAGCTTCATTCAATGAGGTAATATTTCCATCTTTTTTTTTTTGCAAGTACTATAGTACCTCTTCTTTTTTTGTCCTCCATATAGCCAATATCTTTTTTGTGCCGTGATCACTAGGGTTCACGGTCCCTTTCATCTTCTTTTATAATGTCAGCATAAGTTTCTCCTTGTTCGGCTGCCACTTTGATAGCAAAGGTTTTAACTTTTCCTGACTGTTTTCGCTCCTGGCTGCTTTTTGTTATTTTCTCTTTCTGGCTTTCTTTGGAAGCTGCCAGTTTCTCTCCTATTTTGGTCTTTCTTGTTTTTTTCCAGAATTGTTTTATCACCACTCCCCCCTCACCCAGCCTGATTTCTTGCCTCCCTGCCCCTGGTGTAACCTCCACCGTAGTTATCTCCTGTTTATCTTTATCTCTAATTAAATTCTGGTGGACTAGGTGCCGCCTCTTTTACTTTGCAACGTCTTTCTTAATTCCCTCACAATTAGTTTCCTTCTGCTCTACTCGGTAGAGAGTTCAGGATCCAGAAAATTTTTCCCTTTTCATAAACTACCTCTTGTAACCCATATACTTCAGGGTATTCATATTTTCTATAGCTCTAAACAGGGCTACTTCACACTTCATCGGATTCTTTTTTTGGCATATGCTTCTCTATCGGCCCTAAGGGCTATAGATTATTATAATAATGATTTTATAATAATTATTATGATATTATAATATAATTATGATTATTATAATAATTATTATGAATTATTATATTTTTTTGCTGAGGAGAGTAAATCGTTACGCATATCCTGTGAGGCCGGTTTTGTCTTTACTCTCCAGCGTGGGCATACCGCTAAAACCTAACCTAACCTTGTTTTTCATGGCCGTGTAATCTTCTGCACGGGACGCGTCGTTGGAACATTAGCT